TTTATCTTACGATATTTCATATCCTGCTTCAGAGAACTCGTTGAATTTGTGGTGTCCAATGTTACCATGTTTTTCATGTGACTTTTGACATTTTTCGTCCTTCCTGTGAAGGCTTCAAACGAAGCGAAGCCGGAACCGTAGCTTTAATCTTGAATGAACTTTAAACACAACAAAAACACGGTTCTATGTCCTACACTTCAGCAGCATTTGATCGTGCATGGCGTATTTTGTGAACATGAAGGACACGTTACTCCGGAATGAACCACTACGCGTCCAAATCACCCTCATTAAATGCTTCCGCTGTTGACTCAAGCGGGAAGGTCGATATCTCTTTTACGGAGATATCACATCCATTCTGGGTTATTCCTAGCACCTCGAAAGTTTGCTCTGTAGGTTACGGATGTTGATATGAAACGAGATGCAAGTCCCAAACAGATTTGTTGCGTGAATTGCATAAGGTCTTTTCACTGTTACCGGCGAACCTATTCATTTCAGTCCAATAACGAGCTTCCTTTTGAATGATTCATGACGCTTTTTGAAAATATTGTTATCATATCAAAAACACTGTTTTCGAACTTGCCACTTGTTGCCTAAGATTATAATTTTGATTTGCGAACACCTATGTATCGAAATTGGGATACTTCTTTTGAAAATAATTATTTATAAGGAGAATGAATATTTTTAAAAGATCTAGTGAAGATGCACAATAGAAAGGCATGGCAGAAAGTATGAAAGCTGAATTACAATGCAACATTGTTAGAAAATATTACATTTAAAAAGTTCATGAATATTCTTTTTATTCCGGTTTAATATGTAGTGTCTCCTGGCGAAAGGCAAAGACAACTTCTGAGCTCTGTTTTGTTGTAACACAGCTCCGACGAGTGAGTCAAGAAAATATGGTTCGATTTATATCTAGTTTTCTCCTTGCGGTGCAGAACAAAACGAACACCCGATTGTTATGTTGTCTTTTCAATGATTTATTCGTCTGACAAGAAAAAAATTCATTTTATTAATAGTGCTTACGTCGAATGCCACATCCGTGTAAAGTGCATGCATAGACACTGCATTATAAATTGCGAGACGAGCCCTTTCTGTGAAAATCAACATGGCGGCGCGTGCTGATGCTTCAAACAACCCACCATTTCTGGACGCGGGCCAAGTGTGACTAAAGAAATCCTCAAGAGCATTCCCGAACGCTACAGAGAATGCATTGCCAATGGGGGAACTTGATGTTTTCGTTGTTTGCTCCTTCATTGGTAATGCGTAAGAGTCGACGGTGTGTTGGCGGACGCCTGAGATAAATAATCCTCTAAACTTAACAGTACAACTAGCCTTGTACCACAGCACATCACGTGACTTCAATATTGAGTTATAAGATTTGGTTCGCTAAATCCTGTTCTTAAGGTACCTGTTTCAGTGACAATAGAGGTTAACGTCTAAATGGTCGTCTAATAAGTCGTCTTAATTCGAACACGTTCTGAAAGCCTTCATGTTAACCAGTTGCGATTCGCGGTACAAGATATAAGGTAGCTGTAGTTATGATCCATAAAATTAACATATTGAAACAGAATCTCATCTCATGAATATCAATATAAATAACTAAAACAATAGGATTTATTTTCATATAAAGTAGGATTACGTTATATTGAGTTAAAGAACAGCTACCTAATTGTATGGATTACTGAATACTTGCATGATTTGCACTCTATATTTATTAATTAATTATTCAATCTGGGTATTATTAGCAATGATATTAATGACGATAGAGTTGCAACATCAATAATAACGCAATTCTATATTAACACTATTTTTTGCACAATCTCGAATGTGGTTAGCAGGCTCATTGCAAACCACCTTGATCTTGTATACGTCTGGAAACACTGGCGATGCTATGGGGAAGTTCCCCGTCTGCAGCCACTACCACGAAACTCTCTTGCAAAAACGAAAGAATGCGAAAACTTGAGTGAATTTCTGTGCAAAGCGAAGTGAATTGCTATGCTGGGCGTAGCTAGATGGAAAAGGAGGGACAATTAAATGCCCTAAATCTTCAGACTTCTGTCTCATTTCTTATACAATATTGCACAAAGTATATTTTATTGAACTTTTTAAAATTATCTTTTCTAAATTGAATTACCTGACAAAATTTATGTTTGCCTGCCATGCACCACTTATGTAGAGAGGTCAAACACAGCCTTGGGTAGGGTAAAACTGTGGTTTATTTATTTATTTATTTACGTCAAAAACAGTTAAAACTGTGTGCGACGTGCTATGGGGAAAAGTTTATTTGAAGTTACATTTATGTCCAGATTTATGGTTAATATCATCAATTAGTCAACTTCCAATGTTTGGGAAGAACTGGACGAAAACAGGTGCACCTGGCGACGACTCAGGAAACTATTTATTCTGGTGTAGTAACATAACATAACTTTTAATGTATTTTAATAGAAAAAATAAAATATTCCACACTGAAAGTTCTCAAAAACGCGCTGAAAGTTCTTTATCATCTTGGATAATAAATTAATATTTTTCCTCAAAACACCACTTAACCATTAGTTCAGCTAAAAAAAAAACACAGATCAATATTGAAGATGTATCTCCACAGCTGTTGCGTTGACTCAAAGGGTCTATTATGTTAATTTAAGTACTACCTATTTTTTTCAGATCTATACGACGTCATTCATTTGAACATGATAAATGAGTGTCACAAAAAATCCTGCTCGAAAGTTCTTTTGCAACAAAACGATCGACATTTTGTCTCAAGCACTATTGATTTTTATTTTTCGATATCATGTCGATAATAGTAAGAAAGATCAAACGAAATCAAATCGATGTTATTTTTCCTATCTGCAGAGCCATTCATTGCTTTTTGTGTATTTAAACAAAAACACACAAACAATAGAATTAAAACGGTTTCTTGTGAGTATAATTGATAGTCATGTTAGTTTAGGTATTAGGCAATAGTTACCAATTACGAACGACAAAAAAGGTTCGGGTTGGCATCAACTAATTGCCAATCACTTCATAGAAGTAGTTCTGAACATCATAAATTCGGTTCATATGTGACGACTTTATTCATATTCACATGCTAATTCATTAACTACATTCCATCCATTTGAGCATCGCTTCCCAAAGCGACAATTTTTTTTTCTCGTGAGTGCATTGGTGAGCACCAGTTCCACGCACAGAATAGCGAAGTGCACCGTGAGCGTGTTGCATCGCTCCTCCCTCCGCGTCACGCTCCGCGCACCTGGTCAGCATTCGCAGCGGCGCGCAGCGCGGCGG